AAAAATATTTTTTGATGGTCAATATTCAATAGAGTCTACAAATTAGAGCTCCCAAATCATGTCTCTGAGAATTTTTGCTTAAACATGCATCGGGAGAATGACTTTTACGAAATAAATAAATAAGTTATCTAAAATTTGCTCTGAGCTTATTCTAGTAGAGAAAACGAACTATTTTTACCAAGTAATTGTTATTTTAAACCAAGGAAACCTTATAATTTCGGTTTTTTTTTGTAGTACTCCTCTTATCGTTTTCACCTTTTACGAAATGAGACAATTTTGGTCTCATTAGATTCAGTATACCTTAATTAGTTCTGACGTTTAGTAATTCATTTTAGTTTATTTTTAAAAAATAAAAACGCTGGAGGAAGTTTTTAGATCAAAAATGAGGATATTTATTATAGGTGCTAATAACCTAAATCGTACGCAATATTGTCCTAAAATAAAAACGTACGGACCCAATTTTTCATTATATCTGCAACATTTCCAAAAATTATGCAAAGTAGACCATGTTTTCGGGAGAGAAAACGTTATCGCTTTTTGTATGAAAATTTACAGCTTCACAATCCTCTTAAAATGCGGCGCGTACAATGCTGACAAATGTGCGTTCAGCTTAAATCGGTTATAATCTAATTGCCTTATTTTATTTGAGCATCGTTAAACACTTGAATGACCATCACATTATACTATATAAGCCCCACTTCTGGGTACAGGCCTCTCATCAGGAGCGATTAGTCGGTGCGTTGGTGACTTTCACACGTCTTTGAATTATTAATTTAATTCCTCAGCCGCTAAGGTTTTACTCGCGATCTTTCGCTTCATGACAGGGTTGCATAGTCAAATTTAGAGCAAGCTCGTAACAATTTAACTACGTAGTAGTAAGGCATAAAATACCCAAACTGACAACGGAAAGGAACGTTAAAGGTGCGAGTCAAGCAAAGTTGGTCATCTTTGCCTTACAGACAAAGATGACTAAGTCCAGTAGTGAACATTTACGGACCAATATGGAAGGAACCGTGATAATTATGGCAAATCAAAGAAAGCCCACGTTCAGTTTTTCTTCTTTATCAGCGGGTTGATAAAGAAGAAAGAAGAAGATGAAAGAAAGAGGGGATAAGGAATCATTAAAAAGTTGCTGAGGTTGACATTGAGAGAAGATATTGGTATATAATGTAATTTACTAGGTTGTCGGACTCCTTTTCTACCACTCTCTCTTACCTATTTAGCAGTGCGTGCAATGTTATGTGTTGCGATCTGTAGGGTAAAGACAACCTTGTGTTCTTGGTGCGCCTTACCTTTGAAGGAAAAGGGAGAGGGGAAGTCTTGACCCGAGGAAAGGCTGTGCGAAAGCGTTCCCGTGGCCAGCTAATAAGCGACGGCGGTGGAACATCATGTGGGTTTTAGTCGGTGTGAGTCCGTCCGAAACTACCCGTCCTTGCTCCCGCGAGGAAGGTATGCTAGTGCATTTCCCCATGTAAAAAAAAGAGTATAGAGAGACCAGTATAATTACAGACTGTGCTATCTTTGGTCATCATAGAACACTATAATACGCAATAGAATGGCTGTCAACCTTACTTTGTACGAGGATCGGCGTCGCCGGGAGCACACATAAAAGCAATTACGTCGTGTTATCACTACTACAAACCCGATTTGCTGTCTTGACAGACTGAGCGAATTTATACATTTTAGACTTTTCAGCAACGACTACACAGCCCGAATAAGACGCCTCATGCAAGGCTAACACTTTCTGTCAACATGTTAGACAAATACGTCTTACTTAAAAAAAAACGATCGCACGATCTACTTTAGTAGCGACCATTTCCCTGACCCGTGAACATCTTGCATGTGACTCGTGAATTTTCGAAAAATAAAATACAACAGACGCGCAACATAGTTACAATAAAATAGAGCGGAAATGTAGCCAAATGTGTGATTTCAAAAAAATGGCATCACTTTTCATAGATAAGTGAATTTTAATTTCCAAATTCATTAATTAAAATTAAATCAGAGCTCAACCTATATTTGTCACAAGCAACTCGCGTTGATTTATTCGGACATCTTCGGACTATGCATCCCTTTCTTTTCAATGCAGTTCATTGTTGCTATACTTTTCTTTAATTACCGGCACGTGTAACTAGTGCTGTACCAGTTAAACTATCATATTGGTACGAGTAAATATTATGCATGTTATCGGGAATGTTTTACAGACTTATACTATAAGAGACATAGGTGTAAGCTGATTTTCTTTTGTAAATGTACGTTAATCCATATTTCAATTAATTGATTTAAAAATTAAATTAAATTATTCAAAACTTCTTAAAAAATATTATAATAAAATTTATATACTTTTTAATAGACGGCACTCCGCCACTCTTTACTGCTAAGACGCCATGTCATGACAAGTAGGAAACGGAAGTGAACTTGACAGTTTAAATAACTGTTGCTATTTAAACTATTAATAGTATTTATTTTTAATTTTAATAGTATTCTACATTGAGTTATACAATACTAGAGGAGCAAACCACATTACCGCGCGTCGAAAAAAGTGTAACCACTATCCAAACGCGACGACGTAGCTTTGAAACTAATAACAATTTTAAATAAACATATATCTCGCTTGCACAAGTTGCGAAAACAATATCGTCGCTAAGATTAGATAAAGATAGACACACAAACATGCAGTGGCGGGTTGATGTGGCTTACTATATGAAATTTTACCTAAAATACGCAATAAAAATGTGTTTTTTTTAAGCCTAAGTTAATTGTTTTATATTAAAAAGTATATTTTATTTTAAAATCTTTATTGCGTTCCCTTAGAAAAATAAGGATACAAAGCTTATCAGATGAATAGAAGTAAACATAATGATGAAATAAAACATATTTTTATTGTACTAATAAATCAAACGATATAAAATAGGTAATAAAATATAATTAATATAAAATTTATATGAAATTATTATTAATATAAAATAAGTAGGTTATAAAGGTAAGGTTATAAAATATATTTAATAGATAATTCATGAATAAACTAAAATAGGAATAATTAATTATTTTGTATGAAAGTTAAAACGTAGTTTTTATTATAATTTCCAAAATATTTAATAAATTAACTTACTCCATTAATTATATAGTCTCCCATGAATGTAGAATAATCACATATGCGGAAAAGTGGCAACATTAAACGTTAATGGCAATATTCGATAATTTTATTTAATTATTCGAGGTTTTTTACGTTTATATGAAAACAAGAACTAAAAATTATGTGTTGAAAGTGATTTCGCTTGATTTATTACGTTTTTGTGACCTTGAATAACAGTCTCACTACGCATTTTTTGTCGCGGTTCAACTCTGTCGGCGTCACATTGAACACTGAACTGACGTTAGCTAGGTATATGGCTGTGACCATAATATGTGCAGTGCCAACGCTTTGGCGCGGTTATTACTGATCTAGTGTAATATATAAATCAATGGTATTCTATTATTATTTCAATATTGTAAAGAAAGCTTGTTTTAATAAAAAATATTATTCAAAACAAAAAATTATAGGTATTTCACAAAATACGATACCTACTTAAATAAAACTTCTTTTGTTTTTTTTTTGTACTAATTTATAGTAGAATATAATTCTGGTACTGATTAAGTAGACTTGGTATCAAATTTATTAGTCCAAAGTTCGCATCACTATTTGCTTATTAGCAAGTGTCGCAACCTTAATTTTAACCAATTAGCGTGCATTTCAACCCGCCTCCCCCGTACCGCTTACCTCACACTTTTGACAGACAAGTTTGGATGCAGAAGTACACCCATTAGGCGTCTATTCGGGCTGTGTAGTCGTTGCTTTTGAGTAATGTTCATCATTTAAAAATAAATCGTTAAAATTTTAATACAAATCTATTCGATTAAAACTACTTTTACGGATTTTATCGTGTTTCATTTTGATTTTAATTATTTTTATTTTTATTTCCCGACGTTTCGGGTGCTTTCCAGTACCCATGGTTACGGGGAACTGAGGTGACTGACGTCCCGATGTCATTGTTAAACCCGGAGTACCTTCAGTTTTTTAATTATTGTTTATGGTCCGATCTATGCAAAATGAACTGACTGTGTCTTGAAGTCTTGCAGTGGTATGCTTAGGTTTAGTTTTAATTTTATTGATTATAGGGTCCCAAGTAGGTGGTACTACCCAGCCTCCTCTATTGAAATTAGGATGTTTTTTAATTTCTATAGCCTCACGTATTATCATTGGTAGGAATCAGTGATCTTTCGCGAGGATTTGTAGTCTATCAAATCTGATGTAATGGTTGAGGCCGTCTAGGATATGATCACAAAACCAAGGTACTCCGGGCTTAACAATGACATCGGAACGTCAGTCACCTCAGTCCCCCGTGACCATGGGTGCTGGAAAGCACCCGAAACGTTGGGAATTAAATATAAAAATAATTAAAATTAAACGCGATAAAATCCGTAAAAGTAGTTTCAATCAATGTGTAGTGTTCGCGTAAATATAAGAAATCATTATACAAATCTATTTGTTAGTAGTGTCTAGTGTTAATAGTGTGCAAGCTATTCGAAAATTGGGAACGATTGTAACGTCAAAAGAGATGTGTTGACATTTATAGGTGTGAATTGAAATGTTAGTGGCTACACGGGCTCAGCCCACTCCCCCGTTCTATTATGTATGTATAATAGAACGGGGGAGTGGGCGACGAGACGAAGTCCGTCTCTGAATACCGTATTCTATGGTATTCAGAGACGGACTTCGAGTTTGTTGTGTCTAGTCCATACTATTCTTCACAAATTTTCACATTGTGAAGTTTGAGTTTAAATTTGAAATTGTCTAGCCGGTAGGGCTTGAGTCCTTGCTGCACTGTAGCTCTTTTTTAATTGAAGTTGGCTGCAGATGTCCATAAGCTGCAGTAGCCACCTAACGTCAGGTGGATCGTAAGTTCGATTTTCACTTCAGTTTTATCAAAAAATGTATTATGATATTTTTTCCATTTCAGTATTAAACAATTTGTTGGAGCACTGTAAAACGGTGGAAAAATGTAGAGAAGAAGAAATCCATGAACTGAAGAACAAATTTGAACTTTGAAGATTAGTTATTATATAATAAACTTATTATAAGTTTGGTTTCGCTCTAGGATTATGAAATTGAAATGAAAGTGCACCGATGCTTAAGAAGACAAAACATTTCTAGTTAATAAAGGTTTTTACTAAATAGCTCAATTACAAAAATGTGTTTTATTTTATATCATTGGTTGGGGTTCCAATTTAGATTTTAATTTCGATCAAGAGAAACAATTGGGTCACATTAGTGAAAGACAAACAATTCTGTAGTTAGTGTTCAATGTTAATGCCATTGATAGTACATCAAACCTTAAGTTAATTAATATATAATATATAGAAAATATGAGGACGTAGTAGTCCTGCAAGTGCATGTGTATTTTTGGTAGTTGTCTTAAAGTAATGTTACGAGCTTAGGGTTCGTGACAACAAAAATTGCCGATAGAATTACCTAAATTAACACTTTAATTTACTTTACACAAATTAAAGTTAAAACACTAATAATTAAACACACTAATTCACTTTATTCCGCTCCGAAGCTTCGCTTTTCTCGCCAAATCAACACTGCCCGATCGCATCTTGCAGCGCCTATTTATATAATTAGCAAAGAAGCGTCCCGAACATTCAAGTAAATGCGCGCCAGGCAACGAGTATTCGAGTGTAGATTTTCCAGAAACTTAGTTCTTCGGGTGGCGCTGTCGGTCGAAAGATTTGTGATGTCATTTTCTGCAAAGCTCCCCTCGCTGACACTAGATGGCGCTAGTTGACTTATTTACGCAACACTGCCCCCTCCTAAGACATGCTCGTCCCGAGCATTATCGGTCTCATAATAACGCGCCAAGCGATCCACATGGACGATCTTAGGAGTCCCTCTTGCGCCTTTCTGTATCCGGTAGGTCACATCGTTGATCCTGGTTACAATCCGGTACGGGCCGTCCCATTTAGCTTGAAGCTTAGGAGATTTCCCTTTGCTGCGGACTGGATTGTGCAACCACACTAATGAACCTTCGTTGAACCCTTTATTGTTCATTTTGCGGTCGTACCGGGTTTTTTATTTTCTCAGACATTTGCTGGCCCGATTGTCTGACGTGCTCATAAATGTCATTCATTTTGTTCCGCAAGTCATTTGCATAATCGGTTATACTGCGTGGGGCATCAGGTGGTATCCCGGTGATCAGGTCTGCAGGCAGCCGTAATTCTCTTCAAAGTTTGCGAAAGCTGGTGTCACTGCTGTACTTTCGTGAACAGAACTTCGATATGACAACAAAAACGGTTGTATGTGCTTGTCCCAATCTCGTTGCCGATTGTCTACAACTTTTGCTAGGTACCTCTCCAATGTCTGATTAAATCGTTCCACCATTCCATCAGATTGCGGGTGATAAGAAGTCGTTCTTGTTTTATGAGTACCCATAACTCGGCAAGTTTCCTGGAGTATTTGAGACTCAAAATTCCTCCCTTGATCGCTGTGAATCTCTAAAGGTACTCCAAAACGACAGAAGACTTTATGAACTAGTTTATCTGCAACTGTTGAAGCTTCTTGATTTGGAATGGCGAAGACTTCTGGCCACTTAGTGAAGTAATCCATAACAACCATGAAATACTTGTTACCGCTTTCACTCTCCGGAAACGGCCCCGCCACGTCAATGGCTATTCTCTCCCATGGTGCACCAACATTGTACAACTTCAATGCACCTCTACTACGAGTCTGAGGTCCCTTTACAGCCGCACAACTTGTACATTTGCGACACCAGTCCTCGACATCGTTTCGACAGTGGACCCAATAAAACCGTTCTCGGATCTTCAGTAGAGTTCGTTTAACTCCCAGATGGCCTCCGGAACAATCATTATGGTACAGCTGTAGAACATCCGGTACTTTAGTTTTAGGGACAACCATTTGCAAATGACAGCTGTCTCCCCTAACATTTTCCCATTTACGGCACAGAACTCCATCCTGAAGCAGCAAGCTGTCCCACTGGGCCCAATAGCTTTTAGTGGTCGAACTCATTGCTGAGACGTCGCTCCACTTAGGCTTTGGAGCACTGGCTTTCATCCATTCCAGAATCGGCTTGATGTCCGGATCTTCCCGCTGTGCATGTTGTAAGCTGTCCTTCCATTCGTTGCTGAGGTGGTCCGTCCTGAGCATCCTCACGGATACCTCTTCCTTACTCTCTTGCCTAGTACAATGGTTGCAATCTTCAGGACAAGGTCTTCTTGACAATGCATCTGCGTTGCCGTGAGATTTTCCGCTGCGATGTTCGATCTCAAAGTCGTATTCCTGCAGTAGTTCAATCCACCTCGCAACTTTTCCTTCTGGATTTTTAAACTGCAATAGCCATTTTAGTGCAGCATGGTCAGTTCGTAAGTGAAACTTTCGTCCCAGAAGATATTTGCTAAAATGCTGCAACGACTTTACCACAGCGAGCAATTCGCGTCTTGTGACACAATAGTTCCTTTCCGGTTTTGACAACGACTTGTTGAAGTACGCTATCACGACCTCTTGGTCACCATTCCGTTGAGACAACACACCGCCAAGTCCTATATCACTTGCATCTGTGTCAACTATAAATTCTTTGCTTGCATGAGGGTAGCCCAAAATAGGTGTTTTGCACAGACGGTCCTTGAGCTCCTGGAATGCGATATTGCAACTTTCATCCCAGCAGAAATGTCGCTTCTCCTCGGTTAACTTGTGCAGAGGTTTGGCTATATCTGCAAAGTTTTTCACAAATCGCCGGTAATAGGAGCACAAACCCAAAAATGCTCTAACCTGCATCTTGTCTTTTGGAACCGGCCAATCCTTGACAGCGGCGATTTTCTCTGGATCTGTGCGGATACCTTCTTCCGATACTACAAACCCCAAAAAGTTAACTTGCCGTTGGAATAGTGAACATTTCTTCGGGCTCAACTTGAGGTTGGCACTCTGAATCTTCATGAGCACGCGTTCCAGGTTTTGAAGGTGTTCCTCAAACGTACGGTAGATGATGATGTCATCAAGTAAAGGATCAATTGCGTAGAAGTTACGTTGCTGGAGCATTGTACAACCCAAACGGCATTACTTTAAATTGCCACAGACCCTTTCCCGTCGAGAACGCAGTTTTCCCCTTGTCCTTAGGGTCAATTTCAACTTGCCAGTAGCCACTTTTTAGATCCAGCGTGCTAAACCACTTTACTACTGTAAGCATGTCCAGCGTGTCATCAATTCTTGGCAAGGGATAGCTGTCCTTCTTCGTAACGTCGTTCAGACGGCGGTAGTCAATACAAAACCGCATGCTGCCATCCTTCTTCTTCACCAGCACCACTGGTGAACAGCATGGACTAGAGGAAGGTTCAATAACACCATCCTTCACCATTCCTTCAATCATGGTTTCCACTTCCTTTTCACGTGCTACCGGCAATCTTCTTGGCCGCTGACGGATAGGCAATTCTTCTCCTGTGTTTATTTTGTGTTGAACTAAGCCAGTCTTTCCTGTGTCAGCATCGTTTGATGAGAATACATCGGCGTACTTGAGTAACAACTTCTTCGCCTTGACCAATTCGTTTGGGGAGAGAAGTGTTCACTGCTCAAGACAGTCTTCCAAAAGTGTGGTCACTCTCGTTTCTCCATCCTTGCTGGAGGTCCCACTCGATATATATTGGCACTGACGTAACCAATCCACTTCCTCACAAGTACCAATCAGTGTGCCTTTTTCTATAATCTGTTCCCGGTCGCAAAGGTTCAGCACACGTACTTCTGAGATGTCAGTGGTCCTGACCAAGGTTCGAGCTACTTTCCATGGAAGGTCATTGTTTACCCTTTCCACAAGTACACAACGGTGAGCTTGCCCAGCGTTTCGAGGAAGACTAACCGGAACAATCGTTTCCGATCTCGGCGGAAGAACAATCTTCTTAATGCTGTACACGTTCCCTGGTAACGCACCTTCCATAAAAAGTTCCTCCTGTCCACATTTCAAAACACCTTGCTTAACGTCGATCTCACAACAATTATTCCTCATAAAGTCTAGGCCTAGGATGCAGTCGTCCAGTATATCAGCCACGATGACATTATGCAGGTAGATCACGTTGCCTAGCTTCAACTCCATCTCCTTCTCTCCACGGACGGGTATACGCTGACCGGTGGCTGTTACCAAATTAATGCGTTCTCGGTTGTATGCGGAGTCCCCAAGGAATTGACTTATAAGTTGGGAACTAACAACCGTACGAGAGGCTCCAGTGTCTATGGTCAGCTTACACGGCATTCCGTTGATCTCGCCCTTTATGATTAGGCTGTTCCCATCATGGGTTTGTGAGTTCGAGATCCTTGGGGCTCTTTTAACATCAGCCAGCACCCGCCCCGCAGTTCTGGCTTTTACTCGTTTCCCTGCTGCTGCTGGGCGGTGCTGTTGGCCGCACTACCCTCCTGAGATCGTTCAATTTCCCTTTCTAGGGTTCGCTTAGGGCAGCTGGATCGAAGATGGCCCTTTTCCCCACAGCCATAGCACCTTGGGCTGTATCCTTTGTTGCGGTCGCGAACTGTAGCTGCTGCAACCTCCCTGAGGCGATGGGAACGATGATCCTGTCGCACGGCTTCCACTTCCAGTGCATGGGCCAAGGCGTCCTTAAGCGTCTCGTGGTGCCCGAGCCTCACAGCAGCTCTGACTTCCAGGTCGCGGATGCCGTCGATGAATGTCTGCACCAGGTTCCCTTCAATGAGCGCAGGTACAGACCGGTATGCTTTTCGCACCAGCTTCTCCACTTCTAGAGACCACTGCTGCAGGTTTTCGTTGATGCGCTGCACACGATCTTTAAGCTGCGCACGAAAGACGTGTTCCAGGTGAGCGTCGCCATATCTCGCCTCCAATGCCTCAAGGAGTTGCTCATAAGTCACTTCCTCACCGAGAGCTTCCAGAACTGTTAAGGCCTGGTCGCGCAGGCCTAGTGTGAGAGCAGTCATGGCCTGACTTTTATTCCAGCCGTTCGCCTTCATAACAGCCTCGAACTGGATTTTGTAGGCTGACCAGGAAGAAGTCCCGTCGAACGGTGGCACTTTGAACC